AATAGATTAATATGTGAACTGCTTAATTGGAAATTAACTGGTAACAATGACATTTTCAATAGAAGGAGAGCAAAGAATCATATTGTGCAAAGCCAAATCAGATGTTAGTGGTGTTGAGATATGGCCATGAGTTAGTAAGAGATAATCTTTGTACCCCAGTGACTGGCACACAGTAAACCTTCAGTAATTGGCAATTGTTCATTATAATGATGATGATTCTAGCACTTATTGATGAGGTACTTTTTTCGCTTCTAATAAAAAGATAAAAATCATCCAATCATTTTTATCTTCTCTCCTCTCTACATACTTTTAAGGGTTACTTTTTTTTTTTTAAGATTTTATTTATTTGACAGAGAGAGATACAGAGAGAGAGGGAACACAAGCAGGGGGAGTGGGAGAGGGACAAGCAGGCTTCCCATGGAGCAGGGAGCCTGATGCGGGGCTCGATCCCAAGACCCTGGGATCATGATCTGAGCAGAAGGCAGACACTTAACCACCCTGGCGCCCCTAAAGGTTACTTTTTTAAAAGATCATTTTATCCTGGTTCTATGGGAGGATAATTAAAGTTAAAATATCTGCATTTCAGAGAATGCCTTAAGCTACACTGAAATTAAAATAAAAAAAATAATTCCATTTTTGTCCTAAATATCTTGAAGCTCTTTTGGTCTTTAGCAAGGAAGGGCAATCCAGTTTTTATCATTTACTTTGCTTGAATACAGCTGCTTCCTTTTGCTGAAGCAGATGGAATTTATCCCATTTCCAAAGTTTTCCTTCAGAATTTGGCTTTTCCCCCTTTTTTCAGGCCTGGTGTAAATAAGGACATGGGCTAAGAGAATGAAAACATAAACCAGGAGGAGCCATTGAAGGAGTTCTAAAGTATGTTTTTATTATAAGCATTGCTGAAACTCCAGTCCATCACCAATTTCCCAGTAATGTTTAGGTGTTGGATGGAAGACCAATTACAGATAATCTGCAGAGAGCAATCGGTGTCAAAATGGACAGAGCTTCAGAGAAACAGACAGTTCTGTAAAAACCTGTATGTTTCTCAGAATAACAACCTTAATAATTTGGGCGATGTGAATGAAGCCTGCTGAAGCATCATCCCATGTCCAACATTCTTGGAATCAGGCCAAATGTACTGCTAAGCAACAAATGCATATTGTTAGACTGGACCTCAGTCACTGACTTTCCAAATTAAGAATGTTTCATGAGAGTACTGGGAGATGTTTGATAAAAGGGTAGTTTCTTTCCACATACTAACAATAATGATGGTGATTCCATAATTATTAATAAAAAATACTATCAATTATATTTGATAGCTTAACAGTTATTGACAACTGGGTTTGAATCTCAGCTCTGCGACTTACTAGCGATGTGACCTATAAGTTATTTAATCTCTCTGTGCCTCAGTTTTTCATCTGTAGTGTGAATAGTATTCATCCCATAGAACCGTGTGAGGATTAAATCAACAGTGCATGGTAGAGAATAAATGCTCTATAAATATTAGCTCAATTGTTATTGAGGTCTTATCTATCTCAGGTTGATTTGACACTGAAGTCTCTGTTCTTAATCATTGTTCCAACTTGCATCCTGGATGATGGATGGTAGGTGGGGTGGGTGAGGATGGACAGATGGGTAAAAGATGGAGCTAAGGAAAGAACAAGTAGACTCAAGACTTGTAACAGTTCACTTTGTGATGCATATCATAAATTCGGAGAGTGAGTTATAAACCATGGTCTCTTTAGAGAGGAGGGAATCTTGGAACAAATCTCATTGTGTACTCTATATTTCTTCCAGACTATAATATTTTCAAGCAGGAAAATTCTGATTAAAATTAAAATTTATTTAACAAAGTTTTGTTGAATTAGAAGTGAATGAACCAAGGATAAACCTTGGGTAGTGAAAAGAGAAGTCTGCAGAAGGTAAAGGACAAGATGTAGCATATGGCAGAGGGCAAAGTGGCAGAGGTTGGGGTCGGGGGGAGGTGCGACGATGAGGCTACAAACAGAGTGGAGGGTATCTCAATGAGCCCTCTTTTCTGTCTGGAGGACAGAGCCTGGATGAACACCTGTTTACAATCAAGGTCTCTATTAAGCCAACTCTAAGTGTCTAACGTGTAAGATTTTTTAAATTTTATTTGAGAGAGAATGAGCAAGAGAGAGTACACACAAGCAGAGGGAGAGGGAGCAGATTCTCCCGATGAGCAGGAAGCCTGATGCGGGGCTGGATCCCAGGACCCTGGGATCACTACCTGAGCCACCCAGGTGCCCCTAATGTGCAAGAAATTTACTAGAACGTGCCCTCTGGATTAATTCTGATGGATGTTGAGCTGTGAAGTGAGGCCCAACACCTCAGCTGCTGCCATAAGGTGCTCCGGAGCTAAATGGCCCATCAGATTGGCCTATGACCAGATGAATTGGCCTTTGTACTCCTGGCTGGAGTCACCGGATGTGAGAAGAGGCACATGGGAGAGGCAGTTTTCTGCAGCTGAGGCAATCTCTAAAGGGTTGCAGAGCTGAAGGCTATTTGCTGATGGCACTCCTAATGGCTAGGGCAACAATCCTTTTTAGAAGGGTGATTTGGGTAACAAAATTGGCTATCACTTGCAGCCACAGATTATTGTTTCCCTACCTGCAGTCAAACCACCACCTGCATCAGCATCACCCAAAAGGGGCAGATTTCTGGGCCCCAACTCCTAACCTAATGAATCAGTCTCTAGGGCTAAGGCCTGAGTACACATTTTCATAAGCTCCGTGGGTGATTTTGGTCCACAGTGAAGATTAAGAATAGCTATACAATGAGAAAAAAGAAACTTGCTGCCAAACCAAGTAGGAACTTGAAAAAGAGAATTTCCAAATTTGGCTAATTCCACAATGTTCAATGTAATTTACAAAGTAAATTTTTGCCTAAAATAAATTTTCCCCTCAGCAGCTCCTGTAAATCAGATTCTCCTCTGTGAGCATGGACGCATTATCTGTAGCTGGCCATCCATCCTGTATGTCTTCCCACAGACACCTACAGGGACACAGGGCTTCCAATATATCAGCACGAGCCTGGCAGGCATGGAGCTGCAAAGGCTGATTCATCGCGCCAACAAGGTCCACAGGCTCATTTATGCCTGTCTTCAGTAGAAACCTTGTTGCTTCTGAAGAGCCCATATGTTCATAGTATAAGCCAGCTAAATTACTACCTGGTATAAGGAAGCTTTGGGAGGTCATTGAATAAACCCTCAGGTTCCACAACCCTCCAAGCACCAGAATATTCGGAAGGCAGTTTCATCTGAAACCCATCCTCTGGGCCACTGCCATGCTTACCCTTCTCTTCCAGCCTTCCTTCTGATAAAGTCTGAGGCTAGCAATGACACATCAACCTATAGCCCTTTAAAACTAAACCAGAAATTGAATGAGCCAGGCAAAATTAGACTTATGGAAAACAGCATTTCTGAGAAAGTAAATATTTGTCATACACATGAGACTTAAAGTTCACGTGCTTTAACTGCTGGAATTCACCTAAGAAAAAATGCAGGAAAAGCACAAAGATGTTCATCACAAGATTACCTGTAACAGTGACAAAAATAGAAAAAAGCTAAATAGGCTACAAAATGAATATACAATATTATGTAGTTGTTAAAATGTTTATGGATAGTTTTAGATAATATTCAATGAAAGCACTTCCCTTTAACTGAAAAGTGCAGGATACATTGTTTACGCAAAAAAAAAAAAAAAAACAAACCCAAACATTAAAAATGCTTAGGAAATAAGACCAATTCATCAAAATGTTCATAGCTATGTGTCTGGAAATGTAGAATTTCTTCTTTGAGAATTTTAACTTTTACACACTAAGTTTACAATTTTAAAGACATATATAAAATGTTAATAAACGCTTGAGCTTCTAAGTCTCATTCTTTACATTATCTACATTAAAATGCAGATACCTAGATAGGAAGACAGTATTTGCTTCATAGAGCTAGCCTGTTCATAGAGTTTATAGACGTGATCATCTGTTAATAGGTATAGGCAATCCATAGACTTGGGAAATGTTTTTTCTTCTGGGTTTTCTGCAGAATTTTATTTGTTGATAATCCCCAAAGGAACTAGCCCTTCCCTGGTGATACAGTCACAGTCAAAAGCACGTGCCTCTGGAAAGCAGCTTACCGCTGGCTGCCCCACACATGTGATATCTACAGATTGCTTTGTTTTCTGATCTACAGGATCCTCAGGTATTATTTCTGGCCATTCTGTAAGGATTAATCTTCTCTGCTTATTCTTTCATGGAGAGAAGTAACAATAGACTGGATGGCAAGTTCATTTACATAAAAATTATGAACAAAATTAAAAGGATAAAAGTTTTAAAAGCAAATAAGCTGGGGAAATGTGCCACAAATATAAAAGGGTAGTATCCTTTTATTAAAGGACTAACCAAAATGATTTTTTTTTGTGTACAGAAAGATCTGCCGTATAGAACCTGTTTTTTGTCTTTTCACCCTTTGTTCTAGTTCCTGAGGCTAGGAAGAGAGAAAAAGAACACTACCCTAAAAGATTTCTACAAATCAAGAAGAAAAACAGTTCACATAAAATAGCTATGAGAAATATATTAAGTAAACAAGTTAACACTCAAAAATTAGAAGTGATTTTTGATACATTCAATGCTGGCAAGTGCACAGCGAAACAGACACGCTCATACACTAATGATGGGGGTGGATATTGATATAGCCCTTCTTGAGGTCTGCAAGGCAATATGGATCAACAGCTTTTAAAATATGTATATGCTTATAGTCTTTCCTAAGAATCTAGTCTAAGAAGACAAATAGAAAGTGTTCTGGTTATTTATTGCTGTGTAATAAATCTTTCAAAACTTAACTGCTTAAAACAACAGCAACCCGGAGCGGACCCCAGAGAGCCCTGAGCAGCCCCGCCGCCGCCGCCGCCGGCCTAGTTACGATCACACCCCGGGAGGAGCCGCAGCTGCCGCCGCCGGCCCCAGTCACCATCACCGCAACCATGAGCAGCGAGGCTGAGACCCAGCAGCCGCCCGCCGCCGGGCCTTCAGCGCTGCGGACACGAAGCCCCGCAGCGGCCGGGCCGGCCTCACATCGGCGGCGCCTGCCGGCGGGAACAAAAAAGTCATCGCAACGAAGGTTTTGGGAACAGTAAAATGGTTCAATGTAAGAAACGGATCTGGTTTCATCAACAGGAATGACACTAAGGAAGATGTATTGTACACCAGACCGCCATAAAGAAGAATAGGCCCAGGAAGTACCTTCGCAGTGTAGGAGATGGAGACACTGTGGAGTTTGATGTGGCTGAAGGAGAAAAGGGTGCGGGGGCAGCAAATGTGACAGGCCCTGGTGGAGTTCCTGTGCAAGGCAGAAAATATGCAGCAGACCGTAACCATTATAGACGCTATCCACGTCGCAGGGGTCCTCCACGCAATTCCCAGCAGAATTACCAGAATAGTGAGAGTGGGGAAAAGAACGAGGCATCGGAAAGTGCTCCCGAAGGCCAGGCCCAACCGCGCCGGCCCTCCCGCAGGCGATGCTTCCCACCTTACTACATGGAGGAGACCCTATGGGCGTCGACCACAGGATTCCAACCCTCCTGCGCAGGGAGAAGTGATGGAAGGTGCTGACAACCAGGGTGCAGGAGACCAAGGTAGACCAGTGAGAGAGAATATGTATTGGGGTTATAGACCACGATTCCGCAAGGGTCCTCCTCGCCAAAGACAGCCTAGAGAGGATGGCAATGAGGAAGATAAGGAAAATCAAGGAGATGAGACCCAAGGTCAGCAGCCACCTCAACGTCGGTACCCCTGCGACTTCAACTACCGACGCAGACGCCCTGAAAACCCTAAACCACAAGACGGCAAAGAGACAAAAGCAGCCGATCCACCAGCTGAGAATTCGACCGCTCCCAAGGCTGAGCAGGGCAGAGCTGAGTAAATGCCGGCTTACCATCTCTACCATCATCCGGTTTATTCATCCAACACGAAGAAATGAAGATGAAATTCCAGCAATAAGAAATGAACAAAAGATTGGAGCTGAAGACCTTAAGTGCTTGCTTTTTGCCCATTGACCAGATAAATAGAACTATCTGCATTATCTATGCAGCATGGGGTTTTTATTATTTTTACCTAAAGACGTCTCTTTTTTGGTAATGACAAACGTGTTCAAAAAAAAAAAAAAACTGGTTTTTCTCAATACACCTTTAAAGGTTAAATTGTTTCATATCTGGTCAAGTTGAGATTTTTAAGAACCTCATTTTTAATTTGTAATAAAAAGTTTACAACTTGATTTTTTCAAAAAAATCAACAAACGGCAAGCACCCGTTAATAAAGGTCTTAAAAAAAAAAAAACAGCAAAAGCAACCCATATTTAGCTCACAAATGTGTGATTCTGCAGGGAAGGCTCCTCTCTGCTTCGTGCAGCATAAGCTGGGGCAGCTGGGGCAGGAAGAGCTACTTCCAAGGCTGGTAAGCTGGGGCCAGCTGGGAGCTGGGATGGGCTGAGTTCTGAGGTCCTCAATTCTTCCCAACACCAATGTGGGCTTCTGCATATGGACCACTCCACAGGCTGCTGGGGCATCCTCACAGCATAGAGTCTGGGGGCCAAGAGTAAGAGTCCCAAGAGACAGGAAGTGGAGTCTGCTGGTTTCTTAAGGCTTACACCCTGAAACTGGCCTAGGTCCCTTCCATCCAAGATTTAAAGGGAGGGACCTAGAACCTACCTCTAGATAGGAGAATTATCAAAGAATATAAGGGCCATGTTTGTAAACTGCCACATAAACATTAATAAAAATGTATAGTATAAGACATTTATTGAAGTATTATATATGTCAATCAGTAAAAACACAAAAACTGAATATTCAGTATTAGGGAAGTAGTTATGGTACATCTAAGAAATGGAACAGTAGATCATTAAAAATTATGTTTATAAAGAGTTTCAAATATCAAGGAAAATGCTGTTATATAAAAAATTATGGACAAAACCAGCATAGGATTGTGTAAAAAGGACAGTAGTCTTATATGTCTACACATCACTAGTTTTTATTTTTTGCTTTGTTTTTTTTTCTAGTATTTCCCTAACATCCTGTAAGTCTTCTGTTATAAAAGATAAATATTTGATTTAATGCATTGGGGAGAAGCCCACAGACTAAAGTATCAGTTTTAACATGGTTCATCAGCCAGTCCTGGGCCCTGGACTAGAGGAGCTTAAAATATGCCCTTATCCCTACCTGTAATGGGTACCCTTGCATCGTAACTTAGCTTTAAACTTGCTTGGACTTCTGCCTTCCATACTAGTGTAATGTACTCTCTGACTTTACTGACCTCAGTGTCTCAAATATGCACCAACTTGGCTACGGTTGGCTGGAATGACATGTCCAGTAATAGCTGTGCACTGCTCCTCCTCCCTTAGCAATTACTGGCCATGCCGTCCAAATGCAGGACTGACCCTTGGTGTACCAGAAGGAACTGGGCCTATCTGTCTACCCCATTTCCTTTTCTCTTTCCATACCTCAGCTCACTCCACTCCACCACCCAAAAACATTCTAACTATATCAATCTTCACCCCATTGATAGTCTGAGCAATATTCAGGTAAAATGATATTATCCAGGAGATTCCACCTTATCTGTTTTCCCTCTAAATGTTTATAAGCTCATTTTCACAATTATGGCATTTAGTACTTTCATCTACATGCCATTTCTCTCCTTGATAACTTAAATTAGATGTGGCTTCCCTGACATCCCCCAAAACCTAATCCCCACACACGGCTATGCTATGCCCTTTCTGTCTGCTCCTATAAGAATCTATACCGACCCTTCTCATTGTACATATCTGTAGAATTACCTGTTTATTGTTCATCTTCCCTAGCAAATTATTAGCTCCTTAAGGACAGGAATTATCCTGTCTACCATATTCGTGGTAGATGCTAGCTTCCCCCAAAGCCATCTGCAAAATCTTCTCCTTTGCCACATCTCCCAATACAGATTGGAAAGTTTAATGCTTGTGTTGCTAGCTTTCCTTTTATCCAGGAGTTATGGCCCATGAGACATGCAAGTCTGCCATGAGGACTTCTATTAATATTCTTCAGTGACATAGCCCTTTTCCTTTCCCTGTTAAAAAAATTCTGCCTGAGCAATGTCCACAATAGCCAAACTGTGGAAAGAGCCAAGATGTCCATCGACAGATGACTGGATAAAGAAGATGTGGTATATATATACAAT